CTATTTCGGAATTTAGGTATTTTCGGAATTTTTGGGGCTTATCGATATAATAATCGATATTTTATCGGTTTTGTTATCGCAATTTTTATCGATATTGTTATAGATTTGGCTATCGATATTTTCATCGATTTTGTTATCTATATTTTTACTCCTTTTATTATCGATATTTGTACCGACTTTGTATGCGACTTTGTTATCGATTTTGCTATCGATATTATCATCGAATTAGTTATTGATGTTTTTATCGATTTTGCCATCGAAATTAATTATTATCGCTTTTGTTATCGATATTTTTTTCTTAGTGTCTGCTTTCGTTGTTGACTTGGATGTGCTCTTAACCATATCACGTATTCTACGTTTAAATTTAGCGGCTGTTTCTCCGATATAGCCTGCAGACCAAGACGAAGGCGCTGGACTGTTCCTTTTGAGCTGAACTCCTCGATCGAGTGAACACCAATTTATTTCATTGAGTACCTTGTAGGGTGAACTTATAGATACTTTTGTACTCTCTCACGAAGAGAAATATCTGAAGGTAGATTCATTATTAATTCAATAGTTCTGAACTTTTCGTGTTGCCATTGATAACTTACAGCGTTGCCAATGTTAATGAAATTAAATTCCTTAGCTAAGCGGTGCGCAGTTTGCTTTCTGTATACGCATCGATTACTCTCACCACACATTTTGGGACATGTATCATCGTAAAAAATTAAACATTTGAATTTAGGAAGTCAGTTGATTTGCAACTGACATTTTGGAACCCCTAGTCGATAGTTTTGAAAAAAAAAACCATCGATAGCCTATAGGTATCGATCTTTTCGGTTTATAGCCTGATTTTGGCAACTTAGCTTAACTTAACGTAACTTAGAACTTAAAGAATCAAAATGAAACAGACTTCGACGTGGCATTAAGTTACGTTAAGATTCGGCTGTTCAGATAGTATAAGCAACATCCATGTAAGAGAATTTTTAAAGGATAGCCTCTAAGTTACAAAATGGCGATATGAGTACTACTCATTTGAGTAGGTATCGATACTTTGGTGATCTCGGAAAAACCCAGGAAGAGGAAAATATTTACATTTCTAAAGCAAATTATTAACATTCAACCTTTTTCTTTCCTATGTATTTCCAGCGTTTGTCGTACAAGTCTTGTGCAGATAGAACAATGAAATTTCTTGTGCAGAGTTTCTCCGGCCAGAGCAGACACACTGATTCATACCACCATCAAAGTCAGTGGTGGTTTGACGTTAACAGTCAGGTATTGCATACTTACATATTCATGTCTGTCTGCCTGTCTAGCTGCATTATGTCTGTGCACTTACTGTGTAGTATGTACTACATACATGCTTTCACACATGCATATGGGTTTACCTCCATACATACATATGTACATATTTATATATGTGCGATCGCTTGATGCATATAATCGTATCTACGAATATGAGAGAGATTCGAGGAGTACCTATTGATGTTACCAAGCAGAAAACTTCTCCGCCAGCCATCACAGTATTATATATACATACATACATACATATAGTATGAGCATATCGCCTATAGTCGGGTAACAGTGGAAAATAATTGCTCGAAACTGTGGTGGGCAGGCGAACCGCACGAACCGGGAACAACAGTCTAATCATCATCGTTGATCGTTAAACAACGTGAAACGCGTATAGAAAATCTGAAAAATCAGATGAGAGATATCGTCTATTAAACGTACAAATCGATGTCAAAAATCATCTGCGAGAAAATTCGTATTTCATGCATTCATTTGAGCTAAAAATAAAAATAGAAAGCAGTATACTAAATACAGAATATTTAATATACGATCCATCCACCGAGATCAGTCAACCAAATCTGAATTGAAATAAGCGAAAATCTGAAGTACAGTAAAAATTCCACAAACATAAAAAAAAAATAATCCTGTAAACTGTGACTTGTGTACTGTAATTTCGTCTCGCATACAGAGAGATAATATACAATAATACTAATAAAAAGTTTAAACTGTAGAAGCAGCTGTTAAATATTAAAAAAAAAAAATATCCAAAAATACAAAAGAAACAGTGTTCGAAGTGAACAAAAGTTAATAGTGTTAATTAAATTTGCAATTGCGATCGCATCAACAAAACCAGAGTACAGTTTTAGTTGAAGCAAACGAGAGTTAAAAGAAACAACAAACAAATCATCAAAGTAGTTATAGCTGGAACGTAACGCGGAAACTTTACTGAAAATTTTTGCATTTTCCAATGTAGCCGTTTGGGGAATTTTAACACGAACGTGGCCGTTTTGGATGTTTCGTGTTAATTACTTACTTAGAAAAATTTCATCGATAGCGGTAAATGAATGTAAATACATACATATTTGAATATTTTCACTTTGCTCTCGTATTCGATCTGAAAGAGTGAACATTTTCGCACTACCATCTACATACTACCTACAGCACATTAAAATATTTCCGTATACAACATTTTTGGCTCACTTTGCCTACAAGCGCACACGCTAGTCACACCTGCAAATCACTTAAAAAAAAAAGCGATAAGTCACGAGAGTTTGGAATTTTTGGTAAGTAGCACATTTGTTTATAAATACCTACAAAAAACATTTCTATGGTTGCTAAGCTGACATTGGAAAAAAATTTAGTTGCAAATAAAAATAAGTTGAAGACTCTAGTACATATATACATATTAAAGGTGGGCGTGGGACTAAATATTCCCGCTATCTAACACTAAGTAAAATTCGTATCCATTTCAATTTAATTTTAAATAATATGTACATATATCGTCACCTTTATGCCAAAAGCATGAATGCGAAAATTTAGCAGTTTTGAGTTATTGTTTGTTGACTTGATTGATCTTTGGATAGAACATGTTATACCAAAGCCTAGAATACCCTGCGTACAGTGTTGCCAAATTTTTTTTCCAGCTATACGGGACAAATGCATAATTTGTCCCAAAAATACGGGATTTACAAAAATTTAACGGGACAAATGAGAAATAAAGGATTTGTGGGATTCATTTCCACGAAGTAATGCTCAGATTAGTTATAAGCTTATGATAAATTTCGTTTATTTGATGGAAATGCATTTTAATTTATACAAAAATATGTATGTATGTACGTAAACATATAATTTACAAAACCATATAAACAAAGTAAGAGATACTGTTGGGGTCAAAATAATAGCAGCGAAATTTAAAATGATGCTGTTGGCAACTTATCTTTATTTATTGTTAATAATTTTCATTTAAAATATGGGTCCATATATATCAGATACCACATAAATAAAAGTTTCAAAAACTTAAAAAATTTTTGATATTTTTAATTAGATAACCTAGAAAGATTTTGAGTTTGTGGGTTAAAGCCCATTCAATTTCAGTACAATAAAGTTTCAAGTGGCTAAAAAGTATAATTGATTTTTAGATTTTTTTGTGGAGGCTGTTGCGCATTTTCTTCCATATAAAAGTCGGTCTTGTTCATGCATTATGTGGAAAAAAATTTGCAACACCCTCCTCAAAAAAAATTCTAAAAACTTAACGGTAATTTTTAGCTTTATTTCTCTTACAGAGTTACATGCAATAATGCTTGCTAATGACCTACTCACAATAGCCGCGTTAAACCATGATCATGTTGAGTAGAGGCTTATAGGTTGACAAGAATAATGAAATTGTCGAAAATAAGGGAAAAATCTTGTCCCGCCGGAAAATTTCAAATTTAACGCAAAATACGGCACGTCCCGGAAAATTCGGGACATTTGGCAACGCTGCTGCCATATTTTACATTTCCAATTGCATAAATGTAGAGTTGGGTCTCGTAGAAACAAACAAACTTTCAAAATAAAAGTCTTTGAAGACATAAAAATATTCATATCGCTGATAATTATTATGAAAAGACTTCTATTATATAAGTCTTAAAATAATAGTTATCGATGACTTAAAAAATATTTTCTCACACTTAATTATTATCCAAAACCTTTATAATTCTTACGTAAATTTTGATGACTTTTTTAAAACTCCACCGTGAAATAATTATTATTCTGGGTCTCTGGTATAAACTCTTCAAGACACTCAAGGCACTGGTTGCGCACTATCCTGTAGCATTGAAAATATACAAGTGCTCAGATCTCTACCGCCAGTAATTTCCGCCTCGTCCCACTCAGTGTTATACAGTAAAACCCGCTTAAGTACCTGACGAAAAATGTCAGCTTTTTGAGGTACTTAGACGGGTTGGGTACTTAAAATAACCCGCTTAAGTACCTCGATGCGGGTACTTAAGCGAACATAATTATTGAAGTAGTTACATCTTCTTGTTCGCTTGCATAAATATGTAAATCGTTGATTAAAACATGAACATTTAATGAAGAATACGTAGCTTAAAACCAAGATCATAGCATTATTTAAACAGTTAAGAAAATAAAAAAAAAAACTTAAAAAAAAATTGATAAAGCAATGGTATGTCATTTTTAAAATAACTAAATTCTCTAAGAAATTATTGATTATACATATTAGGTGTATTCGCGTATTGTTCCAGCAGAAAACTCTCAGCAGCAAAATTCTAATGATTTTTTTTTATCTGTTTTCTTTCAAAGAGAGAAATTTTAGCAAAAGTACGTGAACGCAAAACTAGCAAAAACTTGCAAGTTTTTAGTACAGCTGATCGAAATTTTGTTTACATGCAAAAGCATAAAACAGAAAACATGAAAAGAATATAATTTAAAAGATTTCCAAAAGCAATTTGCTAATCAAACATGCGTAAATGAGTACTTGCTTTCTTCCGATACATTTGCAGTTCTACTAAATTATTTCAAACTTAAAAATCATAATAAATCTAAATCTAAAATAAATTTCCATATTTTCATAAATTGAAAACAGATGACCTTGATCGGCTGTTTTTCTTGGTGGCAAATGGCTGCTGGCAAAAATTTTTCACTGTACCAACATTCGTTTCTTTTTAGTCTGCAGGTGACCTTTAAGGCTTCCCCGCGTAGGAAGACACAAAATGGCGGTAAGTGCAGCAGTGCGTCAAGAACACTATACACTAGTCAAAAAAATTAAGGGAGGTTTTAAAAATAGGAAACTAAAGCTAAATAAAGAGGTTGTCCAATCTAAATGCCGGCCTAAATGAACAAATTTTTTCAATCCCGTGGACCAAAAAATTCGCAAAAATATTTTTTTTCGCGCTAAATGCCAGGATTACATCAAAATCCTAAAAATTTTTAGCCAAAGAAAATTAGAATCTACCAGTTTCACAGGCTCCCGTGGACTCCTGGAGGTCCACCTGGACCACTTTGGGAAACACTGGTCTACGGAAAATAGGAGAAGTAATTACAGCAGAGAAAAAGAACACGCCACCTTTGGGCTAGGTCGATTCTGTTTCGAAGGGACTGCTACGTTTGAATTACATTATTGTTATTAGGGGTTTTTTTATAAAGAGTTTCCGGCGGCACTTTATTTCCTGAATAGGGGAATATCTGAGTAATTCGAATACGAAGAATAACAAAGTCCAGAACTCTATAGCAGTGGCTACCTTTTTCCGCGTACCTTCTTCAAACAAAGTGGACCAAGCGGGTGAACTGTATGAACATGCAACAAAGCAGATAACTACTGCTAACTGTATACATATGTGGCTTCATACAGTGTAACTGCATTATTATGAAATCTGCGGTATCTGCTGGGAAAACAGCGTGCAACATCGGAGATGTCTCCCTTTGAGTGCGTTCAAGCTAAGGTTAATAAACATTTTAAACGCTGCCTGTACAATAGTATACGAAGTCACACACTAAGTACAAAGAATGTATGTATGTATGTATGTATGTGTCCACTACATGCTTAAACTTCATTAAAAGTTACTAGGAGTTTTATTTACATGTAAATTGTTTAAAATGACGATTGACACTTAGATATCTCTATGAGACTCGAGTAGTCTTTGACAAATTGCAGACAAGTGCAATTATTGGCTTGTGAAGCCAGACTTTGGAGCCCATCAACTTCAATTGCTTCTACATATGTATGTATTATAGTTATTCATTCTTTGTCGCATTTGTAGATGCATAAATAAGTATGTATAGTGCATGATCTCTTCTTTTATAATTTGATGATTTTGATGTTCAAATCGCATGTGACCATTGTGTCTCAGGCGAAGTTAATACCCTTACTGAATGCAGATGCCTTAATTTGTTAAATTGGTCGCTTAATTGAGTTGATCAATACATTGAAGTAGATGTTGGTAAACATACATACATTTTTACATTCTTATATATATTTGTTTATACATATGTATGTATGGACACTTGCTCGATACATGTAGGTACATCTGCTTTGGTCGAGATTATTAATCCAAGTTGTTTATTTTTTAAATGTTTGCGCTGCCATGAACTGTTTGTTGATAATATCCTAACGGGATGCACTAGTGTACATATGTATGTATGTACATAAAAAACATGTTTTTTGTTGTTCAAAAAATTGCTGCGAAAAAAATTTATTGTGAAATTTTATTACTAAAGTTGAAGACTTAATTTGCATAGATCTACTTTTTGACGATATAATATATGTATGTACATTAGAGTGGTAAGAAATAAATTTCGAGAGTTAGGGTTAGGGGCACCTTTCAAAAGCTTTCCTCTTGTCGAGAGGTGCCTTTACGTTTCTAAGTATGTTGTAACAGTCGTTTTATTAACTTCTTCAAAATAAGTGTCAAAAAAAACCCCATTGGGGAGTTAAAGGGTTACAAATTCCTACGAATTTTTCACTTGATTTTACCAAAGATCTCTGAAGAAAAGATTTCGAGTTATTTATTATTTCTTAATTAGAACTCGCATACATTTATAATGGCGTATGAGTTTTTCATCTTCAGTGACCTCTACTAATAAAATTTCTAAAAAAATTTTCTAGAAAATTTTAACGCTCCATATGCTATGAATTAATGAACTTGCGCGTCCTTAAAAATAAGGTTCCAAAAGACCCCTTATGGTATGAGATTAAGTGTTTTAAAAAAATTGAAGAATTTTGTTTATACTAAGTATGGCTACGTCACAAAATGGAAAACTTCGAACAGTGGCTCTATTGGAAAATGTTATAAAAAATAAGCAGATCTAGTTATCTGTGGTTGCATATGTATGTCACTGAAAAGGGAATTTATAGATGTTAGCAACGGTATATACATAATTTACCATCGGCCCTATGCTGAATATCGTCATCGTCAGTAAAGGATCGTTCCACAGAATCCATAGAATAACGTATTAAATAAAATAGCGCCTTTTAAGACCTCTACATCTCTCGTATCAAACATATTGCGTTTTTCGACCCGTCCTAATGTACATACATATGTATGTATGTATGCACACCTCGGAGTAAATTTTAAGTTGGTGCTAAGTAGATTTTTTCATAAAAATTCTGTTGTTTAGTTTTTATCTTATCACATATGAACCTGCTTATCAGTTCTTAGAGTTTAATACCCGAGTGGTTAGTCAAATAAATCTTTCTATTTTTTGTACATCCATAAGATTGATTTATTT